TGTTAAATTAAGTGCATAAACTAATTAAAGACATTTTGGGGCATGTCTCAGCTTTAACCTAATAAATGAGAGGCACAAGAAGGTACACATAGATACTTCCTTATTGCCCATAAATCTGTACTTATTGCAACTGTAAACTCTAGAATGTAGTTTTATGACTCCCATTTCATGGAAACAATATAGGCTATTACTGATGCTAGATGTTTGAATAAGAGCAATTTTGAATTTTGGTCTTGATTGCTTTTAATTGTGAATTATACTGAAGCTGCTGCAGTCATTATCTCAAAAACTATTTAATTAAATATAAGTATCCAGCTGTGTGTATTTTCAAAGAGGCAAAATGTTCTTAAGATCTCAAACAGAAGATACATATATATAAAAAGATATATAAATATATATATATATATTTCACAGGATTGGCAAAAGCCTTCCCTTGTTTTTCTTAGAATTTCCTTTCTTTGGGGTGTTTCATTTGCAGCCTTAATGATTGTTTTAGTTTCTGTTTCTTCTGGGTAATTTGAATTTTTGAAATAATAAGCAGAAATTAAGACTAGGACTTGGCTAGCAGGATCAATATGACAAGAATCCTGAGACGAGAGAGGAATGGAGACTTGAATCCTCTTCCACTCTCTCTTCCACCAGAAAGGAACAAACCTAATATGCCCTTACTTTTCTGTCCATTGCCACCGATTGTGAGCTTTTTTTCTTTTCTCTTGTTTTTTCTTCTTCAGTCTCTCAAAGTCCTAATTACATTTCTTCCTCTCTGAGACATCATTGTCCTCCTTCCATTTTCACTCCAGTCCCCGTCTCTGTGCCAGATCAATACTAGATCCCTATCCAAGTCTCTCTCCACTCACTCTCTTTTTTATTTTTCCATTATTATCCACTGTCTTTCCTGTCAGAACTTCTTTCATTCCTTGGTCACCTTTTAACTCACTTTTTCTCTTTTGGGTTTCTCATTTGTCAGTGTCCTTAATCTTTCTTTTTCTGCCGGTCTGCAGGATGAGCTTATTTCTTCTTTCACCTCCCCTCCATGGATGATTCCCCAGGAAATGTCTCTTGGTTGCCCCTCTTTTTCCTGATATTGGTGACATCCAGCCCCTCAACTCAGCCAGTCCCTGTCCCCCCCGTATTCATCTGTGCCTCCTCGGATGTGCAAACCCTCAGCCGCTTGCACAAACCAGCGAGAGTTCAGCTGAGGCTTCTGCCCACACTTCAGTCATGCTTCCGAGTTAATGGCTTGAGTTAAAGCATCAGCATTAACTTTGAATTTTCTGGCTTCTGACTTTTCTTCTCACAGCTTGACATTTTTGTAATGCTTTGTTTTTCTGGTACTTCAAAAAAAAAAAAAAAAAGAAGAAAAAACAGATGGAAGATAATGTCACAGCAGAATGCGTACCCCTGGCTTTGGCAAGTCTGCCACCCCATTAGCACGACACTTCAGGGCTGGTTAATGGTGTTGTCCTTGGCTGTCCTGGAGCACTGCTCCTCCTGGTGCCACGTGCCAGAAGAACCTACCTTGGGTAGGTGGCAGCTGTAGACAGGCCTCTCGGCAGGGAACACGTGGGGCCTGCCAATGCTGCCAAAGAACAATGAAGCAGGGGGAAGAAAGCCAAATAGCTGAGGTGACGTGGTGAAAGACAGCCAACAGAGAAGGGTCAGCCCATGGGCAGAGCAGAGAATTGACTCACTAACCTCCTAGATGCATCTCACTGATTTTCTGCAACACCTTGGCAGAAACCAGATACTACAGTGATAGCTAATTTAAAGGTATCAATAGACAGTCACACTCCAATCTCACAATTCCTAAATCTTTCCCACAGTCCCATGATCACCCCATCCCTCCCCAGCTACTTGATACACTTAACTGATGGATATTATACGTGTCGTCTTTGAATTGTGACAGATCGGGGCCATGTGAAGGTACATAAAAAATTTCAAAGGTACGACGCAACTTAGAATATTCCAAGAATGATTTCAAGTAACTATATACATGGATGCAATTCTGCACAAAGGCATTTTATTACGAGCAGTGGAGATTTACTAACGGGTTGTAGCTCTGGTAGTCGCCACCATAGCACCACGTCCTGTATCTCACAGGCCAATGGGAGATGACATAGCTCCCCAATGTCCCTGTCCCATCTCAGCTGCCTGAAGGAAACCAATGGAATTAAAAAGGCTTGATTTGAACTGAACGCTGTCATCTGGATGTTTAAAATGGAACGGAATCAATTTGATCTGAAAACCTAAATGATAACATAATTGGAGGCTAAAGTGTTGTTGGCTCCTCCTGAAATGCAATTAGAGAGGTACTACTCGCATTGTGAATAGCACACGTTTAATCTTAAACTATTTCAGAAGCTCCATTTGTGTAGGTTTTTGCTCTGCATTTGCAGGAGAGTTCCAGCCTGGGTTAATAATACAGTGACAGTACTTCACAATGCTCTCCAATGTACAGAAGTAGCTATTAAACTGTCAACAGCACTAAAAGATGATATTTTGATGGCAACGGATAGGAACCCCATCTTCCTGCTCGTGCTACTCAACATTTCCGTATCTTTCAAGCACAGTCAACCATGATTTGTCACTGACTTGCATACATGACACTGGCTGGATAGGTAGTCTCAGCTACAGCTGTGTCAGTCAATTTTTTCAGGCAAAACTCACACAGCTCTTCCCTTTTCTTTCTCCTCTCTTGCACTCGTTCCTGTTCATCATCTACCTGGAGACCTCTAGAGAAGGTGCAGGACATGCCAACTTTGCTGCTGAAGCTGTTCTGCTGGTATCGACCTGCATAATCCCCTTCCACAGCTGCAGCCAGAGATATCATTATATATATAGAATAAAGAGCAAATTTGGTCTCAGTACATCCTACAGGGAGACGTTTCCCAGTGCCAAGCTGGCCAATACCTGTCTGGCTATCTTCTCCGTTGCTGCTTCGCTTTTTCTTTAAAGTTGCATGTATCCTAAAGGACATTTTCAACATTTAGTGCAGGTGAAGAAATAACGTTATTTCATGAAAATATATTTTTTGGCCATTGTTCGAAGTCCACCATAGGAGGGGGTGACCTCAGCAGTGATCTCTGTAATTATCACCTTGAAACCCTACTGCACCTGCAATCTGGAAGAAACAGCAAATTCTAGTTTCTGCCAAAATCTAGCAGACGATTATCACAGACTTTTCTGTCCCTGCTGCAGTTTCAAGCTGGCGACCAAAGTCCTAAAAGTCATTCAATCCCATCTGCAACAAACACAATAAAGTTGTGTTTTTCTTAGTCTAAAACAATCTAGAATAAGAACATTAGAGGCAGAAATAGGCTTTGCTGGTAAGTTCTCAGGCAAAATCAATTTATCTCATATCCTTGTGCTCCAAGTTGTTTTTCTTTCTTTTCTTAAGCAGAATGATGAGAAAATAGTGGGAGGAAAAGTTCATCCACTCACTCAGGTTGTTGCCTCAGAAAGGCTCAGCAGCAAACATTATAAAGTCTTTCATGGAACATTCATCAGCCCAAGCTGCGTCACAATAGTTCTCTGGATGAAATCTTCACAATTTTTTTTTTATTTATTTAAATTTTACCAAAATCACTATATGCAACTGTACTGGAGATTTCAGTGCATTACATGACCACAATACAATGCTGAGAGGATTTTAAGGTATTTGTTCTTATTTTCTTTCCATTTTAAATCTTTAAACCTGTTCTAATTCTTGTAGCTTGTTGTTTGCTTGGCAAAAGCACGTCTTCTAGAAAGGTATCTGGGAAATGTAGAGGTCAACAGCGTACTCAAGTTGATTTTTGTAGTAGGTAATCGCCTTCTCCATTAGAAACATGTACCCCAGAAGTACTTCTGCTGAGGTATTTTCTCCTTGTAAAGCTCTTTCTACACTGTAATCAAGGTAACTCTCAACATCCTTTTTGTCAGCAAACCAGGCCAAATCACATATTTTTGAAACATTTTCCCTTAGTGAGTTCAAATAATCTGAGCAGCGATTTTCTACTCTCTCCTATTTGCCAGTGTCCTATTAAGAATGTGGATACCAAAACTAAAGCCATATCCCCGTGCTCTTCTTAGCAGCATCTGATAAAATGAAAATAAAATTGTTTATACATCCTGATGATGCATTATATAACTAGACAGGTAATTGATTAAAGAAGCCTTTATTGTGTTCATTTACTAGTTTTATGATCGGTTAATCAGAATGATGATTATTTATTATTATTTTCACTTGTTATAGATTTTTAGATGCCAAACATTGAGGAAAATAAAAAAGTTTAAAAACCACTTTAAATAAAAATTAAACAGTCACACTGAAAAAACCCCAACCCCTTCAAAACTTCCTTTTAAAAATGATGCTGCAATAAATGGCTATTTTATTTAAAACAAAATTGTAAATTTGCAGGATTTCATTGCAGCCTTTTTTTTTTTTTGTCTTCCATATCTTGTACCTAGAACAGGACCATTTGGGAAGCCAGGTGTTAGCTATTTACCAACCCGAGAGGTCGTTACAGAAATATGCTCAAAACCACGTGTGAGGAGATTTCCTCTTAACTTTGCTCAAGGAGCACTTCAGCGACAGAGACCGCCTTCAATATTTAAGTCCAGAAAATGAAAGATTCATGTGCTGTAGCTGGATATTGGTGCTGCAGCCGAACAACCCGCATCTGCCCGAGGTTGAGGCTGCCCCAACCGCATTTATATTCCGGCCGTAAAAAAAAAAAAACCCTGAGTTTAGGGACACAAATTCTAACCATTCAGCCTAAGGAAACGCAGCAGCCCCAGGTTTTATCAGCGCCGATAACCCTCATTAATCCAGCGAGCTTTTCCTGGAGACAAAGGACAAAAATGAATCGCCTGGTCGGAGCTGCCTGAGCAGCATGCTAATGCAGGGAGGTGGAAGGAATGAATTATTCATGCCCTGAGCGGGCAGAGCCTGGTTTTCCCTGTCACCATTGCAACAAGTGGCGGCCATCCCGGCCGTTGCGTCCCCTGGGAGCGCCGAAATGTTTTCTGGAGAAGGGAAGGTTTCATGCCTCCGCCGGCCTCGGGTGGATTTTCAGGTGAAGCCTCGCGGAAAATGGACCCGGGAAACGGCGTCTTTTGTAACCCAGATGTACTTGACCGTAAACTGCTCTTCTTGGAAGGAAACGGGTCACTTTGGTGAGTTTGTGCAACTTTTATCCACTTCTGAATCTGCTGTAAACTCTTTTCAGTCTAACGTGACAGTGGCGTGCAGTGTTTCACCAGTCTTTCTGAAAACAGTCTGTGTTCTTTTCACTTTTAAAATGACTTAAAGAAGCCTGAAAAAGCATGCAATACCTTTGTTTTTTAACTCCAGGAAATAGGCAAGCAGTATCTGCAGAGCTCACACTCAAGCGCACACTTAAATTGTATTTATTAAAATTTTCAAATCCCTGTAGCACGCTGCTAAAACAAAATACATTTATGACCCACGTCCGATTTCTTGCAACCGAAACCGAAACTAATGTAATTCAGTGTCGAACTGGAGAACCTGAGAGCATGCGTGTTATTTTTCATAAGGAATATTGGTTCCCTGCTGTAAGTGTGGCTTGTGTTGTTGCTCTTTATTCCGTTCAAAACGTTTCTGATTGGGCTGGGAACAGGAACTGAGACCTGCGTAACATTCTTACCATGCGGCAACTCTTCTGCTGTTTCATAAAATAGTTGAAAAGCATTGGTAACTTGCCCAATTTTTCTAAGGATAGAGAGGAAATACATTTTGTATGTAAAGCATATGGCAGTGATGAACTAAGGCTAGGCTTACCACTTCTGTCTATGGTGGAAAGCGTTGAAGTGTTTTGCTATATTATTCATTATCAGTAAAGCTACTTAGAATATTTGTTTCAATTCTTTATCAGATTATTCTTATTTTCCAGTAGTGATACTGTCAGTATTGCCTGAGGACTCTTGGGTAATTCATTTCTTGGCACAGTTAAAAAATTGATACAAATAATCAGCTCCCAAGAGCAGACACTTTGTATAGGAGCATGAAGATGAAGTAAATAATAAGTTTTGATTGTGGATAACAAGCTCTCCTGCTTTTATTTGTCTGCTTTTAATTACACAATCCAGATTCTGCTGCTTCTACTTTATCTTTTGTTGTTTTGGTCATAAAAGCATTTTATTTGACATCCAAAACACAGCCAAATTTTGAAGGGATAAAAGTACAGCACAATGATAGCTAGTACTAACAGTAATTAAATGTGCTGCATTTTAAGAAAAGTAAAACAAACAAAACCAAACCAGAGGTGAAAATGGGGATATGTAAATAACGGGAGATATGCAAACAATGGATGTAATCCCGCACTCCTTAATCATGGGAGTAATCCTTATTCATGTAAGTAATCCTGTTGGTTTCAATAGACTCACATCAGTAGGTGCTGTAGCGTAAGGCCCATATTTTTCAAGGAGATAACAGCGTCTGTATTGCCTGGGTTTGTATGGTAATGCAATTTTAGCAACGTGTTTGAATGCATTAGTGATAATACAAAATTAGACTTTACCAAATGTCTAGTTGGTTCCTAAAAGTATAAAAGAGAAAAATGGAAGAACGTATTAGATGTGTCAGTAAGAAGGTACAGACCTCACATATTTCATTCGAAATGTGCTTATGCTGGAATAGCACTACTCACCCTGATGACTCTGTTTGTAGGTTGCTTTTTGGTACATGAGTATGTAAACTTTGCTGCTTTTAGGACAGGATGTAACTCTAGCAAAAAAAATCACTGTGGCACCCACTGTCTCATAAAGTGCATTTGAGTCTCCGTAAAAGTGACGTTGACAAATACTGTTCCTATGTCTGATTTAAATATATGAGGGTTGTGGTAACTTCCTGACAATGTGTTTATTGCCCTTACGGTCTCTGACCTTGCCAAAATAACACCTGCAGTTCTGCCTTGGGAATAGCACACTTGTACAAACGTTGTGGTTGCGTTACCCTCCTCATGAGCCCAACTTGGCCCTTCTGAGCTTTCCACTCCAAGACCACGGAGCACTGCCCTGTAACCCAGGATGGGGCTTGGGAGCACCTGGGTACCCTTTCCCAGGCAGCACATGTGTTAATGAGGGAAAGCTAATTACTTAAAAGCTTTTAGTCCAATGGGGTTGAGAAGTATAAATAGTCATGAGCAGGTCCTGATGCTCTGCAAGCCATCAGCCTGTGTTTGTGCTGGGTGCCAGCACTGGGGGTGTCTCTGGCTATTGTGGTCACTGCTGTGTTAAGATGCTTCCTCTGTGGAAATAGTCTCTTGCTTGTGCCGCAAAGGAGCCAAAATAGGAGTGAAGTAAAAATGCAATGGATGGTGGTTCTGGACTGAACATAAAACTGATGCTTAAGTGGAGTTGATAGTAAGTAGATGTTGGCTTATTGTTCGTTGCGTTGAGATAACAAGAAACAAGTGATTCTTCTTCATCAGCTTCGCTGCATAGCAGAGATTTGGTGTTCTGTATTTGCAGGTGAGGTACACTGTATTCTTAGTATCTCTTTGCACACAGCTTAATGCTGAGGCTATATGGCTCTTATGAACAGGAGAGTGCTGGAGGCAATAAAATGGCTAGTGCCAAGAGGTTGGAAAGACAAACTAGGAGCCGCTGCCAGGGCGCGACTGGAGTAGCTATTGGGAGCAACGTTTCTTCTCATTTACTCCATGCAGGGTCCCAACAGGAGCATTAAGTCTCTCCAGGTAAGTCCCTTTCTGTCCCCTGACCCCTGCCCATGGGGTCAATTCCTAATTCCTGGAGAAGTTCACAAACATTGGTTGTACATTAACTTGAACTTTATAACTGCAGTTTTGAGGGTAGTTTTTTCTACATCCTTTGTAGAAAAAATAAACAATAAATCCCATGCATCTATTTTTGTTTAGGGCTCTCCCTCTGGCAACTGGCAGAGTTCAGGTGTTTTAATTTTTACAGTTTTTTTGAATTTTAGAGGTGATTGTTTGCGTAAACTTATTGAATTGTCTTTAAAACTTGGCTAAAGAAAGGTGCTCTAGAATGGTTCAACTAATTTTTATACCAAACGCATTGTGTGCAGTAATTTGGAGAACCCTGTGGTTTTTTTTTTCTTCTTTGTGCATACATGCTATGTACAGTGAGAGCTTTTTTTTCTGTCTAGAATGGTTCAACTAATTTTTATACCAAACGCATTGTGTGCAGTAATTTGGAGAACCCTGTGGTTTTTGTTTTTTTTTCTTCTTTGTGCATACAAGCTATGTACAGTGAGAGCTTCTTTTTCTGTAATCACTGGCATGTTGTTCTCATGTCTCTCTTCATTAGAGGATGCTCATCTCTTCTTGCTTCCCACCCCAGGCAGAAGGCAGGGGGATGCATATTCTCCACTATTGCCCTGGATTAGAAGTTCTGTGGGAGCAAAGCTATGGGTGGGCAGGCTGTGAACGGTGTTAAGAGCAGGTCCTTCATGGTTTGGCAGCATTCCCTCCTTTGTGTAGGATGTGTTTTGCTGCTCTCTGGGGTTGCTGACACAAAGGCAGGGCATTGTGGCTGTTTGCCTGGCTGTGGGCATTGCTACGGTTGAGGGACTTTGCCGCATCAACATGGAGCGTGCTGAGGTTTCCTACTTAGGGCTTCCATTGCAAAGCTTGTTTAAAGAGTTGTTAGGTAAGATATTTGAAATAATACCAGCCTCTGCTTCTAAGTTCAAGTAGCGCACGAAATAAAAGGCAAGTTTTAAAGTGCAGGTAGAGGAAATTTTCCAGCTGTTGTTTTGCAGCTGGAAGCCTGCGGCAGAGAAAGCAGAAAGACTGGAAGCGCCAGCCTGCAGCCCGCACAGCGTGCACATTGAGCAAGGACTGGGAGCGCGGCCCTGAGAAAGCCGAGCGCTGGCTGGATATCAGCCAACTGCTTTACTGGTGCCGCAGCTCAGACCCACATGGCAAACCTCATCGCAACACAGACACTGGCTATGGAGCAGAGCCTGGAGCAGGAGACGTGTCCTATGGACCTGTCCTTGAGACGGGACGTGCCACATTTGTTGTGTGTAGGAGCTCAGGGACAGCAGTTCCACGTGTGTGGCTGGGGAACAGTCTCCAACAGAAGGGAACCCCAAGGCATTGTGGACGACTCAGTCTTTAAGCTTAAGAAAAGACTAAACCAACAAAACTAAATTAGAAGCCACTAGAAGTTCCTAATAAGCTTATAAGTGGAAAAGCTAGGCTGGTAGGACATATGAAGTACGACAGCACAGGTGTGTATGAGCTTCTTAAAATGAATATTTTTCACTTATTCTCCATGTATTCCTTTGCTGTAAATCCTGTTCTGTGTTAGAGAGCAGCCAGACCTGGAGGAGCAGCAGTCTTTACCCTCTTGGTGGTCCAGCCCAACCCCAAGCTGCTATCTCCCCAGGGCATATTTCAAGTGTGTTCTTCTTCCATACAGCATTGCTTTTGTTTCACGTGACATTTCTGTCCCTCCAGAGAGGGAGAGGTGAGCAGGACAGCCACACTCAAACCTATGTGCATATTCCCAGGCCCAAACCTATCTCCGATTTCCATCGGTAATGTGCATTTATCACAATCATGTGATGGTGTAATGCATCAGTCCCACACCTCACAGTCCACCAGGAGCAACTGGGAAAATTCAGCATGAACTGCTGTCGGGCTTGCAGTGATTACTACTAGTTATTCTGACCATGTGTAATCTTTCCTCCACTCCTTACAAAGGATGCACAACCTCTTTCTGAGTATTGGATCCTGACTTGGTGGTGGTGTGTTACCAGTTCCTGCTTAGGAATTTATCAAAAACAACTGAAAATATGTCTTTGCCTTTGTATAAACCTTTTTTGATGATCAAAGACCATCAAGTGCAGGCTTTAGAAGGGACAGTAAACATGATGGTGCAGAACAAACATACAGTAAACGGTGACAAAATTAACTATGGCAGAATACTTTGGCTGTCTTTTTTGACAAGAGAACATAGATACAATTTCCCTTATATCTGGAGTATAGCCCAGGATAAACATGGGAAAATAAGAAGTGCTTTTAAGAGCAGAAGCCTGAGCAGAAGGTAGTGCTAGCTGCAGATCTCACGGGTGGTGTGGATCACCTCTGGTGTTGTGTTTCAAATCTGTTTGAATTTCATTGATTTCATTTATTTTTACACTTCTATTGATCTAGACTTCTAAT